GAGCCTTCAATGTGCTAATTAACCTTTAAAAACCATAGCTTTCAAAAATCACATTCATATAATCATTTAACAAACACATAACTGTGCAATATTATGAAAATATTCATAACGAATTCATCAAAACTCAAAATATTATGAGACCTGTGGCAAATAAAAGTAGGCTCAAAACCCTCTTTTTAGAGCTACTACATGATGGGTTTCGGATTTTTCAAACTAACCAAAAACAGCCTGAAATCTAGATTGAAGTATAATCTCGTCAGGAAAATAAAAACTTTTTAACTGAACTTATAAAATTCATAACTAAATGTATAAAAATCCGTTTGGAGTGATTCAAAAACTCACGTAAAGCTTGAGATGTATACTTTAATAGAAAAATATAAGATCAGTCAAAATCATAAGTATATATGGCACGAAAACAGAATCTACATAGGCTGTACAGAGGACTTATATTTGAACATTTCATCAAATACCTAGCATGCATATCCTAATCTTCAAAGACCACTCTCAAATACATGAATCATCATCTTAATAAGAGTTTATCTTCAAATAATCATCAATAATATCAAGCTAAAATCATCAATTTCACCCAGAAACCAATATTTGAACCAAAACCTAAAGAAACTCATTTTTAAGAGTCTACAACCAACATGCATAATAAGCCCCTTCAAAAATCCGAATCTCAAGTAAGATTTCAACATCTTAATCTCTGAAATCTTAGTTTCTAACATAAGAAAGAAGTTACCTCAAAGAAAAATGTGTTCCCAAGTGAATAGAAGCTCCAAATCTTGGTGGTTATTTTTGGTTCTAGGTTGAAAACGAGTTGAAATGGGCTGGTTGAGTTTTTAGCTCATTCTCTCTTAAAAACCTAGGTTTGATTCTGAGTTTTGGGTGAGAAAAGGAGTGAGAAGAGATAAGAAAAGGTTATGGTCGGAGTTCTAGGTTTTTTTTTTTGCTGAAATAGACCCAAAATGAAGTCTAAACATGCTAGAAACTAAAAAAAAAGTAGAGTGACCTTATAGTAGGACAAGTGTCTAGGTTTTTTCTAAGTCTTTAACATTTGTCCTAACCTCATAAAATCAGCTCTAAAGTCTTTATTTTTCTTCTTCATTTAGGTGCCTAAAGTTCACTCAATTTGTTAAAATAGCATTCTCTCACAAAACTCAAAATAGCAACTAAGTCCTCAACACATTTACATAAAACCATATAATAAAATATAAAATAATAATTCATCATTAAAGCAATCATAATAGAGGTAAAATATCATAGCAAATAATCATAATAAATATAATTCCTTTTCTTCATAAGTTTAGCACATTGAGTTCCCACATCGAGCTAGTTGTACTGCACATTAAAACTGAAAACTCGATTAGTAAAGCTATAAGTTTAATAAAATCATATGATAGCTATCATAATAACATATAATGCCAACAAATAACTTTAAGGTAAATGACAAATGTGATGCATGATTTTAATTTATTAAATTTATTTATTATTGGCTTAAGGCTTAATTAAATCTCGGGTATTACAGAGCAGAAGTAGGATATGTATCAAAATATGAATTAAATGATACGAGATAAAGAATCAAAAGAAAACAACATTCCCAAGTAGCTTCCTCTACTAAATGATTTCTCCAAAGAACCTTGACCAAAGGAATGCTCTTGTTTCTTAATTCCTTAAGTCTTCTATCAAGAATCTGAACTGGTTTTTCTTCGTATGACAAATTTGGTTTCAACTCCAAAGCTTCATACGTCAAAACATGAGATGGATAAGCTATATACTTGCGGAGCATAGAAACATGAAATGTACCATGAATACCAGACAATGATGGTGGAAGAGCTAACTCATAAGCAAGTTTTCCTACTCTTTTCAAAATCTCAAAAGGCCCTATATACCTAGGACTGAGCTTTCCTTTCTGTCCAAATCTCATAACTCCCTTCATTGGAGCAACTTTGAGAAAGACCTTGTTACCAACTTCAAATTCAAGATCTTTTCTACGCTTATCAGCATAACTCTTCTGTCGACTTTAAGCTGCTTTCATCCTTTTTCGAATCTTGTCAATAACATCAACTGTTTTCTGAACCAATTCTGGACCTAAGACTTTTCTTTCTCCAACCTCATTCCAATGAATCGGAGATCTGCACTTCCTAACATACAACGCCTCGTATGGAGCCATACCAATAGTCGAATGATAACTATTATTGTAGGAGAACTCAACTAAAGGTAGCTTTTTATCCCATGAAGTTGAAAAATCAAGAACACAAGCTCTAAGCATGTCCTCTAGAGTCTGGATAGTTCTCTCAGATTGCCCGTCGGTTTGAGAATGATAAGCCGTGCTGAAAGACAAGCGTGTTCCCATAGCTGAATGTAAACTTTTCCAAAACACTGAAGTGAATTTTGGGTCACAATTAGAAATAATGGATACAGGTGATCCGTGAAGCCTGATAATCTCTTCGATATAAAGCTGTGCATACTGATCCATACTGAAAGTATTTCGTATTGGAAGAAAATGAGCAGACTTTGTAAGTCGATCTACAATAACCCAAATAGCATTAAACTTCTTCTGTGTCCTTGGCAATCCTATGACAAAATCCATGGTAACATGTTCCCATTTCCATTCTGGGATAAAAAGTGGTTTCAACTTCCCTGAAGGCCTCTGATGTTCTATCTTAACTTGCTGACAAGTGAGACATTTCTGAACATACTTTGCTACTTTGTACTTCATCTTTGGCCACCAAAAATGGAGTCTCAAATCTTTATACATTTTAGTGCTCCCTGGATGAACTGAGTAAGGAGATGAATGAGCCTCATCTAAAAACTCCTTTTTCAATTCCTTAATTTTGGGCACACACAACCTATTACCACAAAAGATCACACCCTCATCAGATACTTGAAAGTCATTCTTTTTTCCAGCTTGAACCTTCTTTTTGATACGAACTAAATAAGGATCTGAATCTTGACTTTGCTTAATCTTATCCATGATACTTGGCTGCAACACTAAAGCTGAAAGCTTAGCCTTTGTTTCTTGAGAAACCACTTCAATTTCCATTCTACTTATGTCTGCAAGCAAAGATTGTTGTTCTGAACCAACAACAACTGACTTCCTACTAAGAGCATCCGCCACCACATCAGCCTTGTCAGGATGATAATTGATAACACAATCATAATCCTTAACCAATTCTAACCATCTTCGTTGTCTCATATTTAATTCCTTCTGCGAGAATAAATATTTCAAACTCTTGTGGTCAGAATATATCTCACAGTGCTCACCATAAAGATAGTGACGCCAAATCTTGAGAGCAAAGACCACAGCAGCTAGCTCCAAATCGTGAGTAGGGTAATTCTTCCCATAGCTTTTTAATTGACGTGAAGCATAAGCTATCACCTTCCCATTTTGCATAAGCACGCAACCCAAACCATTCTTTGAAGCATCGCTATAGATAGCAAAACCATCAGTCCCTGACGGAAGAGCTAACACCGGAGAAGAGATCAATCGCTTCTTTAATTCCTGAAAACTTTCTTCACATGCATCAGACCAAGTGAACTTCATATTCTTCCTCGTCAAAGCAGTTAGAGGAGTAGCAATTTTAGAGAAACCTTCAATAAATCGTCTATAGTAACCTGCCAAGCCCAAGAAACTACGAACTTCAGAGACATTGTTTGGTCTAGGCCAAACACTAACAGCTTCGACTTTGCTAAGATCCACAGAAATTCCATCTTTTGAAATAATATGACCAAGAAAAGATACTTTCTCCAACCAAAACTCACACTTCTTGAATTTTGCAAATAGCTGCTTCTCCTTCAAAATTTGCAAAACTATTCTCAAGTGTTCATAATGCTCATCATGAATCCGAGAATAAATAAGTATGTCATCAATAAAAACAATGACAAACTTATCAAGAAAATCCTTAAACACGTGGTTCATCAAATCCATGAAAGCCGCTGGAGCATTGGTTAATCCAAATGGCATAACCAAAAACTCATAATGTCCATACCGTGTTCTGAAAGCTGTCTTAGGTATATCTAATTTCTTCACCCTTAACTGATGATAGCCAGACCTCAAATCAATCTTTGAAAACACCGCTGCTCCTTGCAACTGATCGAATAAATCATCAAAGGATACCTGTTCCTTACTGTGACTTTGTTTAATTCTCGATAATCAATACAAAGCCGCATCGAACCATCCTTCTTTTTCACAAAAAGAATGATAGAGGAAACAAAGAGGGAAAAGAAAAAAAAATTATGAACAAAAGTAAAAAAACAGAGACATCACATATTAATATTGGCAAAGGAAGGCAATATATTCAATATCAGGAGCATATATTAAGGACTCGTGGATAACAATTATTAATAGTACCTGAAATGCTATAAATACTCCTTTAAATGTGATATCTGGACCAACTAAATACAAACAAAGCAAAAGAAAAAATACTAAAATATCAAAATAAAGCGGTAAATCATTGATAATAAAGTAGAGCATTAAATAATTAAGGCTGAAATACATAAGACAATAAAGTGCAAGGAAAACAAACAAAAATATACAAAATACATTCATATGCAACAGCAATTTTTCTAAATAAACAAAAATATAGTACTAATATCTACTAATAACATAATAAAATCACCTGCAAACAAAAATTATAAAAGAAAAACAACATACGTATTAATACAACCACAACAAATGAATATATTGAACATCAGGAGCACATATTAAAGAGTTATGGACAAGAATCATTAATAATACTTCTAACGCTATAAATACTTCTTCGGGTATGAAGTGTCAACCAACTAAATGCGAAGAAAAGAAAAGCAAGGATATAGAAGTAGCAGTATAAAACAGTAAAGGATGAATAATGAAGTAGAGTAGTAAATGACTAAGGGTCAAATGCCGAAGAGAAAGAGTAAAGCGCAGGGAAAACAAACAGGAAAGTACAGAGTACACTCATAGGCATCATCAGTTTTTATATATTTAAAATTATAGATATCGTTTTTTGTCAACAGATAATATAAAGTAGTGAAGACATCTTACCTTATGCTTGATTTTTTTAATCTAGTGTGTGTGGTTCTATTAGTGGACGTTTAGTTAATGGATTTAAAATCATTCTCGTTTTACGTGTGTTTTTTGTGAGAGAAAAATACTGTAGAGAACCATGAATCATGATTCAGAATCATGAATAAATACAGGAAATAAACATACGCTTAGTGAATGTTTGGTTCATGTATTCAGAATCATAATTCAGAATCATGATTCAAAATCATGATTTAAAATTATTATCATTTTACGTGTGTTTTTTGTGAAAAAAAACCTCACACGTAAGAACAGAGCACCAATTTCTAGAGCATATAAATTAATATTCCTTAATCAAATGATAAGAGGAGTGTATTAATGCGGTAAAGAAAATAAAATAAGGGAATATAAAGATTAAATTGTAATCACCTCAGAGGAAGAAAAAGGCGAAAAAAAAGCAGGAAGAAAATGATAGAATAATTTTTTTTCTTCCCACATCTTTCACGTATCTGAGACAATAAAGCAACAAAATCAGCACAGGTCATCAACCTAGGCAGACATATCAGCATGCTAAATAGTACATATCAACAAATTAATAAATGCAAAAGAAGAAATCCAGAGTGATCTATACAATGCATGAAATCAGCAACAAAAAGGATCAAAATATCTATATTTTCTCAACAAAAGTTAAACACGGCAAACATCGGACAAAAAAGCCAATAAAAAAGCCAAGAAATTTAATCGAAGCCGTGACCAAAAAACATAGCTATCAAAAAACGGAGGAAAAATACTATAAGCAAAAAATGAAAAAGAGCATAAAACATGCACCTCAGCAAAGGCGCGCAGGAAACCAAATCAGGATCACGAATCAGCCCAACCAGGCAAGAAGAATGCAAAACCCCTGCATGAAAACCAGATTCAAGAGAAAAAATTTCCATCAAAACCGCAGAAAACTCCCGAACAAAATCAACAACCAACAACCGAGTAATGGAGAAGGTAGAACAAACAGAAACCCCTAATTTTCACGAAAATCAAATAAAACAACCGAAGTAAATCGAAACACCAAAAAAGAAGGCTAAGGGTTTCAAAAAATATCACAACAGAAAACTCCCAAACAAAACCAAAGAATAAACTACTGAACAACCGAAAACGAAGAACAAATGGAAGCCCCAATTTCCACCCAAATCAAATGGAAGAAGCGGGAGGAAAGAATCAAAGATTTCTAAGGGTCCGTTTGGTAGAGGGATTCGTTCCCTGATTTGAATCATAATTCATGGTTCGCTACAATATTTTCTCTCACAAAAAATTTACATAAATCAAAAATAATTTAAATCACGTGGTTTAAAAAATTTTCGTCACATTGACTGCCGGTTTGACTTTCTCTTACATGAAATCTATATACATATCTTCATTTCATATATGTTGTTGCTTTCTTAATGGAAGGACAATGATTATAGTGAATTTTAGGATGTTCAGTTTTATGCTAGTTGTCCATAAATTATTCTAAATATGTTTTCCTAACTTGGATTCTCAATTTGTCCAAGTTTCTTACCGAGGCCAAGAAACCAATACAGCCTTTACAAATCATTTTTCTTGCCTTCATTGCAGAAATAATTGGATAAGAGACATTCTTTGATCTTCCACTAAAAATGAATTGATGTCCCGCTTGAGGTTTAAAAATAACCACTTTTTGATGACAATCTATGGTGGCTCTATGCTTAGATAACCAATCCATACCAAGAATCACATTAAAATCTTTCATATCCAAAACGATTAAATTCACAAACATCTCTCTCTCATTTATCATAACCAAACAAGATCTCAACACCTTATTAGACTTTAACACCTCTCCAGAAGGTAAAACTACACTAAACCCACTTTTCAGTATCTCTGGTACTTTACCCAATTTATTAGCAAATGCAAGAGATGCAAAT